GAACCACCCTTGGTAGGTAATTGACTGTCTAACATTCATTCACTTCATCTTGTTGACTGATATTCATCCTGGAGATTGAGACTGGAAGAAAAGCCATTGCAGATGGAAGATTGATGATCAAGACCTCGCTGGAAGGCTGTGGAGATGGAGATTGAAGCTTGTAGCTGTTTGGAGATGACTTGAAGATAGGTGTTGATGCAGAGCTGCTGTGGCTATTTATTTTTGCTGTATTTCATTTCTGATGTATTGATTGGTTTTCTTGACTGTATTGTTTGCTGTTTAACCTGTTGGGTTGAAAGTGAATCCTGTTCACTTTTGCCTATTGTTTTCTAGGTTCGAGGTTGAGTGGGACTCCCTTGCCTCGCTTGTATTGCTGCATTCATGCATTTTACTGCTTTACTGTATATATCTGTTATTCCCTTAGGATCTCTGTTTCTCTCTGTGCAGGAGAGGAGCATGATATACACTAGGTCTTAACCCATGCATGATAACATTAGGTTAGTTTGATTCCCCTCGCAACCGTAGGTTAGAGTTCTGTCTCTTCTTCCTCAAAACAAACAGAAAAATACAATAAAATTGCAAACACAATAAAAGACACTTCTTCCGTAAAAGAATGTGAACTCATCAAAACGTCATTTTTGTCCGCTTGGACTGTTAATCAGAAAAACCTTTTTTCAGAAGGAATAAAATCAATCAAGACAGACTTGTGTCGTACATGGCCCGAACTACGTTTGCTCTGATCTTCCATGCAGTGTGGAAGTACGTAGGCATAGGATGCGATATCCTAGCGAGCAACCTTCCCCTCCTTTCCCGTAGGTAGGCGAACTACGTTGACTCTGATTTCTCGTTCCAGACGGGAATACGTAGGCATAAAGTGCGATACTTTGCCGAGTCATTTTCTTTTCTTTTAACCTTTAACCCTTAGTTTAGATAGAATAACAATCCGTACCAGAAAACAAGCGTGGATCCCGTCGAGTACGACGGACGTGAGGGGTGCTAATACCTTCCCCTTGCGTAACCGACTCCCGAATCCAGGTTTTGGTTGCGACGACCATACCTTTCCCGTGTTGTGCGAGGTTTACTCTGAGCGTTTCCTTTCCCTCCCGTGGGATAAATAACGCGTGGTGGCGAATCTTCTGTTCAGCCGGCGCCGATTTTCGCAGTAGCGACAAAGGTATCCTATGAACATGCATTTCAGAGCTCTAGGTTCAACCTTGTCTTGCCTAATATGAGCATAGGCCACACAACCAAATACTTTTAGTCTGTCGAGACTAGGTGGATGTCCTGACCAAACATCTTCAGGTGTCTTCATTCCCAAGGCAGTCGAAGGACATCTATTTATCAAGTAAGCTGCTGTCGAAACAGCTTCCACCCAAAACACCTTCTTCAGTCCAGCACTAACCAACATGCATCTAACCTTTTCAAGGATTGTTCGATTAAATCTCTCAGCTAAGCCATTTTGTTGAGGAGTACCTGCTACAGTCTTATGCCTTGCAATCCCAGACTCAACACAGTAACTTTCGAATGCTTCGTTGCAGAATTCAAGGCCATTGTCAGTTCTCAACCTCTTGACCTTTCTGCCAGTTTGAGTTTTGACCAGAATCTTCCAACTTTTGAAATTCTCAAAAGTTTCATTTTTCATCTTCTGAATGAGTACCCATAGCTTTCTAGAATAGTCATCAACGATGGATAGAAAATACCTTGCACCTGAGTGTGAAGGATCCCATGCAGGCCCCCAAAGATCAGCATGAATGTAATCTAGGGATCCATGTGTTCTTTGCTTGCCTTTGTTAAACTTCATCCTACATGATTTACCAAATACACAAGATTCACAAAACTCCAACTTTTCGACTTTGTCACCTCCTAGCAGGTTCTGCTTCCCCAATTCGACCAGGCCTCTTTCGCTGACATGGCCCAATCTCATGTGCCATAATTCTATCTTCGACACAGGTTTCATGGATGCAACATTTGTCGAACCACTTACAACCGAATTCTCAAGGGTATACAAGCCTTGTTTCTTCACGCCTCTCAAGACTTCTTTCGACCCCTTCATGACTCTTAGGATACTTTTCTCTCCTTGAAAAACATATCCCTTTCTGTCGAATTCAGCAAGAGAAATCAAATTTCTCTTTAAGCCACGTGCATACCTAACTTCAATCAATAACCTTATTAACTCCTCATGGAGTTTGAATCTCATAGATCCAATATTTGTAATTTTGCAAGATTTGTTGTTTCCCAGCAGCACAGATCCACCATCTTGATCACATAGCTCCTCGAACAATTCTCTGTTTGGAGTCATGTGCCAAGTGCAACCTGAATCCATAATCCACTCTTTTCTCAAGTCGCCACTTGAAACCACAAGAATATCAGATGAGTCGAAGTCATCTTGAACAATGGCTGCGTTGCCATTACCTTCATGATCTTTCAGGCGTTCAGGGCACACCTTTATTATGTGACCCTCCTTCTTACAGTGATAACATCGAATACCATATGTTTCACCACTATCAGACTTCTGTTGACTTTTACCTTTCTTCTTGTCGAACTTACCATCCTTTCACAAGATTTTTCCCTTAACGGCCAAACCTTCGCCCACCGTCGAAGGTTTATGCTCTTTTATTTTGTTCAAGTCCTTAGAATATAAGGCTGATTGAAATTCTTCAAAGGTCAGGGACTCCCTTCCATACTAGAGAGTTTCTTTGAAGTGAGCATGTGTTCTGGGCAAAACACACAGCAACAACAGTGCTTGATCTTCATCATCGATCTTCACATCAATATTTTCAAGATCAAGAATCAGCTTGTTGAACATATCTAACTGCTCAGCCAACACTTTTTCTTCACTCATCTTGAATGAATATAATGCTTGCTTCAGGTAGAGTCGATTGACCAGAGATTTGGTCATGTACAGAATTTCAAGTCTTACCCATAATCCCGATGTTGTAGTCTCCTTTGATACTTGTCGGAGAACCTTATCACCAAGACTCAACAATATTGCGCCGTGGGCTTTCTCGATCATGCCTGTCTTTTCTTTTTTCGTTAACGCAACGTCCATGGCTGCCTCACCCTTTATTGCTTCCAAACAAACATGTTGAACCAGTAGGACTTTCATCTTCAAGCGCCACAGACCGAAGTCGTTCACCCCGGTGAACTTTTCAATCTCATACTTTGTTGAAGGATCTTCTCCACGCTCACCGCACCAATTTGTTGTGAATCAGATACCTTGAAAACTAAGTATAAACAATTTCTTAATGATCAAGAAACACACAAGGGTTAGGGTTAATAAAGAAGAAAACAACAAGGATTAGTTATTAAACTGTTATTCTTTTCTTTCTCTTAAAAAAAGATTACAAGTATACAAGAATAACAAAAATAACCTCTCTCTCTTGAAATTAAGATTTTATATTCCTATTTTTCCTTATGCCAAGATTGAGAAACTAGCATCCTATTTATAAGAAAAATAGCACACTAACCTAATGGGCTTTTTAACAATTACCAATTACAAGTTAACTTAGGGTACAAACTAACTTAAACAATTGGGCTTACAAGCAAGACCCAATTTAACATGCTAACAACCCTAGCAATATTGACTAATGCATGTTAGAACAGACTTCTACTACAACACGCATTACTCGCGAACAGACTTCGACCAAACTAGAGTTCGATCCAACATCTCACAAATAGGTTTTGAAAATGATTCGGTGGAGTAGAGGATTTATAGATGCCTCGGATTCAAAGTTGAGCATAGAAAAGATATCAGAATGAGTAATTGGAGTGAACAAAATCTCAGAAGTGCTTAGGTAAGTAAATAAGTTCAAATTGATCGATTCAAATTGTTCTTTCTTGTTAAATAACAATTTTTTCATGATTCATATTATTTCCAGATTTCTATAAGACCATAAATGAGAATTTTAATTGTATTCATTTTTAATTTCTAGAAGTTTATAGGTCATGCAATCAGAAGCTCAAAGCCATTTGATCATTTGATCAATATTCGATGACGACTTGTTCTTTAAGCTAATGAAGGTCTTTTCCTATCTTACTTTTTAATGATTTACTCAATTGGATATTGATAAAAAACACTAACACTGGAAACACAACAGTGACACGTCACTCGAAAGGATATATTAAATATATTTACAAGTGTTATCACTCGACCGGATAAATTAAACATAATTACAAGTGTCAGATACAGATACTGATACTGACATGTCACTCGACAAAATAAATTAAATATAATCACAAGTATATGTTTCAGACAACGACACTCACATGGCCTCACATTTTTTCTGAGGTGTCGGAGCTACATGAATCTACTTTAAAGAAAAACTTAAAATTGAAGTCGCACAAATTTTGATCGATTGGCTCTGGGCTGCTAAATGCACAGATGTGTGGAAATTGTAATTAGAGACTATCTAAGTTCTCATAGATGATGAATGAGATCATCAATAAGCAAATTAAGATATTATTTCTTTTCCTTGCTACTAAAAATTCCCTTTTTGGTTTGATATATATGGGGCCATGATTGACAACTGAGGGAAGAAGGGCCCCTATATGCAAAGGTTGCTAAGGAAGATCCTTATCTTACTTTTTAATGATTTACTAAATTTGATTTAGAGATTTAAATAAAGGGAAACTGAAAACTTTTGAATCTATATTGATTAGATGAATTTGGAAGATTAGCTTTGGAACACATTTAAACTTATATGAAATCTCATTTCTTTCATTCATTCATTGTCTTATGTTAAGTAAAACTAGTTTCCATGGTAGAGTAAAAGATTAACATGTTCTTTAAAATATCTGATCTTATGCCCTTATGCCTAACATAAAGGTAGCCATACAATATGCATATATTAAAACCATTTAAGTGTAGCAAGAACAATTTTAAAATAGGTTTTCTTGCTGAAAATGAGTTCACTTCCATCATCATGAACATGATGAACTCATTATATCTCAGCATCAATACACATACACTGCAATAGGATAACATCTAGAAACTAAGTCACTTAGGTATGATTTTGCTTTAGCATAACCTCCTTAATCACTTTTTCCAAGTTCATGTATGAAAAACCTCCGGGCCTCGTATCCTCCTCCATCTTCTTCTTCAATTCAATTGTCTTTTGCCTCATCTTCTTTCCTTTCTCTCCCACCATCAATTCAGTGACCAACTTCTCCACCTCCTCTCTCTTCACATTTGTATCGATTTCAATTCCAATCTCCCATGTATTGCAGATATATCTACAGTTAGCTGGCTGATCAGCAAAAAATGGCCAACACAACATTGGAACTCCAGCACATATGCTTTCGGTGGTTGAGTTCCATCCACAATGAGTAAGGAATCCACCAATTGAAGGGTGGCTTAACGCTTGCTCCTGCGGACACCATCCTGCGATTAGGCCTCTATCTTTAATTTCATTCATAAACTCAGATGACAAAAACACTGAGCCACCGATGACAAGGTCAGGCCTAATGATCCACAAAAACGATTGCTTGCTATTGGCTAAACCCCAAGCAAACTCTAACAATTTTTCCGGAGTCATAACTGTCATGCTCCCAAAATTCACATAAACAACAGATCCAGGTTCCTTGGATTCAAGCCAATCAAGACACTTATTATCTTCTTTCCAAAGATTAGTACTTAAAGATGCCAAGTCGTTTTGTGGACTTTGATATAAAAGTGAAGATAAAGGACCAATGGCGTAAACGCAAGGGAGCACAGTCGAGAGAACATTCAATACATCACTTTCAAGTTCATTAGAAGTATTAAAAATCATTGCAGAGGCTCGGAGAGCCCTTTCTGCCGCTTCGTTTATGAATTCTAGCAATGAATTATTGGGATCTATAATCCTTATAAAGTCTGGCAGATCTTTCAATCGAAAGTCCTGCAGACCCGGAATACAATCTACTTTAGCGTCCAAATATCCGTTTGTCAAATAACTCTCATCTGCATATCAAATTTATAAAAGGTGTTAACTTGAAATTGAATCTCCATAATCCTAATATATCTCATATAAACATTTGAACTACACTATACCTGTGAAGAAAGAAAGAATATTAATTAATTTTGTTACCTTTTAGAGGTATGAGACCTTTTTCGAATAATGTTGGTAAATGCAAACCAGACAAGAATGTACATGCACTGGCTGGACTAAAGAAAACAATAGGGAGTGAAAGTTCTTCAGCAGCTTCTATAGTAAAAGACATACTATTGTCAGAAAGTATGCAAGTAACTGGAGGGACAAGACCTGAAGTTGCAGAGTCATCAAGTCTAGCAAGAAGTTCGCGGAACGGTTTGATGAAGTTCTTTCTAATTGATTTACAAAGTAAGAATATGTCTTGGCTAACATCACCATCAGCATCACCATCTGTTGGAGTTAAACCATCTGGAATAGTCTCAAAGCTAAAACTGGTGAAACCATCAAAGGCGTTGGAACCTCGGGATTTCAGCAAGCGTTTTTGGTTGTATTCGGTGTTGACAAAGGTTATGTGAAAGCCTCTAAGGTGAAGAAGCTTTGCTAGTTTGATCAATGGATTGATGTGGCCTTGAACTGGATATGGAATCAACACTGCATGTGGTTTTTTATCACCCATTTCTGAGTTTTTGTGTTTGAATGTAGAGCAATGGGATTGGCCAGTGGTTTAATAGGGATAAAGTCGATCTATCTTGGATTTGTGGAATAGAAAGTAGAGAAACAAAACAGAAGCTTTTTTTTAATGAGATATGTAACACAATAATTGATACATACTAAGTCAAGCCACCAAGTTTTTATATTAATACTTTTTAAAAAGTTAATAAAATTTCAAAATAAAAAATAGATTTTAAAAATTAAAATTTAGAAAGTAGAAAATAATTTAATAGACACATAAAATTGATTTAATCTATTATATTTTTGATATTCTTTTAGAATTTTTTAGAGACGAGTCATTCCGTTCAATTTAACTTAATGCACATGTGATTTTGTAATCGAGACCGAGAGATCAAATTATGTGACCAAATTATTTGATTTTATTTAAATTTATCATGCAGTTCATTCCATAATTGGCTTTTTCTTAATAGAGTAACATATTCCTCCTTTTGAACGGGAGGACTTCCTTATAAAATCACTAGTGATTGACACAAATAGTATAAAATATTTAAAAATTATGCCTTCACAAGACATTTAAAATTAGTAAGTATGATTTGGAGTTAGGTGATAGTCTAATTTTTATGTATCTTACAAATAATATCCAATATCAAGCATTAATATTTTATTAATTATAAAATAAAATAGAAAATCCTATCAAAACTTTGAACTTATCGTAGTTAATTCAGTTTGTTTTGAGGATATACCTAAGACATATCATAGACTCAGGCGAGAATGTTAGTTTTAGTTAGACGAGTATATTAATTTTAGTTAGATAGACGACTTTATGAATATATCTTAGGATATATCATATATTTGACTAGATATTTCAATTTTAGATATACTAGACTATTTTAGCCCGTTTGTTTTAAATTTCATTTGAATAGTTAATGTGTCTATAAATACTATCTCTCATCGTAGTTGAAATATACAACAATTAATAAACACTTTTTCTTCTATTATTATCTAATTTTCTTTCAATTTATCATCCTTTGACAATTAACTTGTTATACAAATTACCTACCCGGACTAAGCACTACAAATTATATTCATCTACATATAAGATAAATTTAAGTCATTTTCTTAACTTTTTAAAATTATAAATAAGAAAACTAAATAAATAATTAAAGTATAACTGATTTTTACTCACGTGAGATAAAAAATAAAAGACCTACTAATAAGATGAGTTGTATCACTTTATATATACTCATTCTTTCAAAACTCTATCTAACAAACGGAATTTGGGATCTTTACAATACCTATATCTAATAATTACTTGCCTTGAATTGCAACCACTTAGTAAAAGGTGTTATCTAACAATATCATCATATGATTGTGGACCACTTCCATAAGTTTCTGTTTTCTAGTTGAACTAGAAGACACTTTTTGTCTATTACAAATAAGGTATTTTTCACATCAAAGATTCAAGTTGTACAGAAGAAAACAAGACATCTGCTAAATCATCAGTCCCTTCCAAAAAGGCTCAAGATTATGTCCAAAACTACATTGAGAAAAAACTAAGTTCACCTTTATTGTGCACCTCTATTGATAGATCTGGTGTCCCTATCATCATCAATTATAACGCCAAATCTAAAAACTACCAACAGCAAAATAATTTAAATGCAATTCTAAATTATTATATTTTACTTGGTTCACTGAGGTATGAAATTTGTACCATTATAAATCTCTTATAAAGTAGAAAACTTTAATTTAAACTATTACAAACAGCAAAGTGATTTTTTATGTAGCACAGACTCTCACACACATAATATTTAATACAATAAAATAAACTAACATAGTACTTCTTAAAGAAGCATCGATTTTGTTTGACAATAAAGTACATTAAATAGTACAATGCTGCATGGCTGAAACAATTCTAATTCTGTTTAAGCAGCACTTCGTTAATAATTTTGTCTAAGTTCATGTATGAACTGTTGGACTTTCAATTAGGGAGCATTGAACATAGTGAGACTTTTTTCTAGAGCTACCTTTGTGAGAGACACACCACATACTCACCCAAAACCTTAAGGTGATAGGTGTATGGGTTCTCTCACTTATAAATGCTCAAGTCACCACATTTCTATCCAATGTGAGACTATTATCCACCCTACTCACACTTGTTAATACTTAACACTCTCCCTCAAGTGTGAGTCTATCACAATGCTCTCCCTTAAGCGAAAACTTTAACTGTGCAACTGTACCCTTGTACCGCCGTTGACATTCTTCAACGAGACACTCAACCCACGGTCTATGGGGATACTTTCGATACAAGTAAGTCGTTCCCTTTATTCGAACCAAAGGCTCATGATACCACTGTTGGACTTTCAACTAGGGAGCATTGAATATAGTGGGACTTTTTTCTAGAGCTACCTTAAGGTGAGTATGTGGTGTGTCTCTCACAAAGGTAGCTCTAGAAAAAAGTCCCACTATGTTCAATGTTCCCTAGTTGAAAGTCCAACAGTGGTATCAGAGCCTGGTTCGAATAAAGGGAACGACTTACTTGTATCGAAAGTATCCCCATAGACCGTGGGTTGAGTGTCTCGTTGAAGAATGTCAACGGCGGTACAAGGGTACAGTTGCACAGTTAAAGTTTCCGCTTAAGGGAGAGCATTGTGATAGACTCACACTTGAGGGAGAGTGTTAAGTATTAACAAGTGTGAGTAGGGTGCATAATAGTCCCACATTGGATAGAAATGTGGTGACTTGAGCATTGATGTTGGAAATTCACCTCACACCCTATGAAGAATTCCCTTCAATCTTGATCTCAAGATTGATGAACAAACCCACAATATGATAGTAACGGTAATAACAAGTAATTATCAAGAACAACAAAAGAAAAGAAGAACGCACAAGAAAGAGAAGAATGCGAGAAAAAAATATTTGGAGAGAATGTGTTACCCACAACTGTGGGATTTCTTATTGCTTATAGAACTTTCACTTGCTAAACACTGCAACTGTGAAATCTGTTCTATGTTATGTTGTGTTTGAATACAAAGCAAGGCACCCTATTTATAGTTTTAGATTTACAAAAGCCCAAAACATAAAAGGCCCAAAATATTCAAATCAAATATAATCATATCAAATCAAATCAAAACAATGAATTGCATTTAACACACCACCTAATTCATTTTGTCTAAACTGTCTACATTCATCATGGCTCTTAGTCTTCTGAAGGCTTCGACCTGCACTCCCTTCGTCATGATATCTGCAATCTGATTCTCAGTTCTGCAATGTTCCAACTTCATCTTCCCTTCTGCTACCTGCTCTCGAAGATAATGGAACCTCATTTCGATGTGCTTGCTTCGACCATGAGCTATTGGATTCTTCGCCAAGTTGATAGCTGACATGTTGTCTATCCTCATGGTAATTGCTCCATGATTCTTCCATGTGATTTCTTTGACCAAGTTCACCATCCAAGTTGCTTGGCATGCACAAAGGGAAGCAAATATATATTCTGCTTCGCATGATGATAATGCCACTATGTCGCACCTCGAAAAATCATGGAGACATTTCGGAGAAACGACCCTCGCGTGAAAGGCGCGGAATTGCGGTTCGACAGAGTCGCCACCGAACTTTATTTTTCCCGAACAAACGGGAGAGGAAAATATCGAGAAAACCTCTTAAAACGAAAGGATAGGAACAGGGTTGTCGCAACCATGTTCCGGGTTCGGGAGTCGGTTACGTGAGGGGAAGGTATTAGCACCCCTCACGTCCGTCGTACTCGACGGGAACCTCTTAAGGTAAATGTGGGGAGTGTTGTTCTAGGTTTACTTGTTTTCTTTTCGTTGTTAAAGGTAGAATTGGTAGGATAAAAGGTAAAGACGCTAGGGGAATGGGGCGGTTAGAAGATAGGGTGCTCGCCAAGGATTGGGGCCCTTGTGCCTACGTATGCTCATTCGGACGAGAATGAGAAATCAGAGCGTCGTAGTTCGACTACAGGAAAGGTTGGGAATGTGTGGACGAAATAATGGAGGAAAATAGAAGTGTGGCATAGGGGAAAGAATGGGAAATGTGCTCGCCAAGATTATCGCAATCTTGTACCTACGTATCTTACATTCGGACGAGAAGGAAGAATCAGAGCAGTCGTAGTTCGTGGTAACAACCACGAAAAGACGAGGTTTGAATTGGTTTGACGTTTGAGAATGAGACGAAAGAGTGACTGACAAGCAACCCAAGAGCGCGCCTCAAGAGCTTGTCACTCAAGAATTCAAGGAATGCGAGATTCCGAGAACTCAGTTCTTTCGGGAATTGACTGAATAAGTTGAAGATAAAGAGTTGGATGTTTTGAAATCGAAAGAATGAACTAATAACAACTCAAGGGCGCACCTCGAGAGTTACTCATTCGAATATTCAAAGAATGTTAGATTCTGAGAATATCCCTCTTTCGTAAGTTTTAAAAATGTTTGTGAAAGGATCGAATCGAAAAAAAACGGCATGCGAGGCCAAAAGGAAGTTGGTTTGAAAATGGCTCGACGACGTGTCGAGGATTTGATTGAAAATGAAACTGACTTGATGACGTGTCAAGGCTTAAGATTGTGAGAAACGATATTAGTCCCTGAGGGTGCCCCTAATATCGAAACCACGAGGAGTTGTGAATGAAATGTACGAAATGTGGGTTGCGAATGCGTACGAGCATTCGACTTAGGAGAATGTTTGAAAATGATTGCATTTGAAAGATTCGAAAGGTTGAGTGAACAACAACTCAAAGGGCGTGCTTCGAGAGTTATTCACTCGAAAACTCAAGGGATGCTAGATTCCAAGAATCTCCTTCTTTCAGAGTTTTAATCGAGAAAAAGTTGAGAAAATGTTTTGAAATAGTTTGAAGTGAAACGAGGTGTGAAAATAATTTTAGGAGAAGTGATAATTATTTGATAAATGAGACGTCGGCCTCACAATCAATTAATCGGAGTATTATCGAGATGCTAGATCTCAATAACACCATTTTTATCTGAAAATGTTTGGATGAAC